AAAAAAAAAAGATGGTCATGGGGTGGAAGAAGGGAAAAGACGAGTGGCTCTCGAGGAATTCGTGACTAATTAGGACAATGGCGGCAGCACTCCGGCGAGTAAGCAAGATTTTAATGGACGGGCCTTTCAATCATTAAGCAGAAGTGCTCTTTTATTTTATCCACCCCTCTCTATTCCTGCAGCGTTCCGTTTGTTTCGGCCTTTGTCTTACGATCGTCTAATCTCTCTGCTGTTCGATCACGGCCCGATGCTATCTCAATGCTGTTCGATGTCTCGAAAGATTCGACCGAGATAACCTTCGAGCATCCGTCAAACCTCGTGCCGTTTTCATCGCGTTTATCGCGATCGTACAGCTTGCTATTCGACGCGTTTGTACCGACAGAATGTCGAGTCTAAAAATCTCTGACGCACACGTCGAGACGGAAGATGGCTTTAAACTGAGTTTCAAATCGAGCCAGATGTCTTACCACGAGCTACAAGTTTCGACAAGTATCGTGGCAATCTCTAATCGTTTTGATAAGATTTCTAAAATAACGAAACGAGGGGAACCGACGATTCGGAAATGTGGCGCGAAACCACAGACACGTGTATTTTAGTAACAGCTACGGAAATGAATTCGAGTGAGAGTAGTTTCGAACGAGACCCACGAGAGGAGAAAATGGCCACGCTAATGGAACTCGCGCGGTCAGATAAATTTGTTAAAGACACGGGCGCATTAAATATCAGGATGAAAGAGGGCGAGGGAGCGTCGAGACACTTCGGCCTCGGCCGCGTGTCGCTTCGCCCCTCTCCCCACCCCCATGAATAATTCAATAAAACGATAACCGCGTTGCGTGTTAATTCGCAGAGTCGAGTTTCTCCGCTAATAATTCACATAGTTTATGATATATCACTGACGTTTCGCGCCCGGCGATTATGCAGCGCGCCGGTGCACGACCGTAATTTGCTCGTGAATATTTCGCGAGATCCGCCCCCCCCTCACCCTCAACCCCCGGAGGAAATCTGCCGGGACGATTTTCTTCCGTACGGCGACGACCACCGCGACCCGGTCCAAACGATCCCGGCCGATTTTCGTGCAACACAGCAGACACACACACACACACGCGCGAACACAGAGCCAACGAGGGAAACGAGCGAACCAATTACGATCCAACGCGCGTATACAGAGCGCGATACGATTCGCCAACTAACGCCGGAATAACAGGATAATCCAGAGTGTATAGTCGGTGCGGAGGACGCGAAGGGACGAGGGGCGGATATGGGAGACGGGTCGACGGACGGACGGACGGAAATAACGGAACGAGCGGTGGCCATCCTGGCGCGCGGGAAATTTATGAAACGATAGTCAGAGCTAGTCAGTGATAATTGCGCGTTTTGCACAGAACGTTATAGGATCGTACGGTAGCGGGTTTTATCGTCAATATTTGTCACCGTCGCGGATACAGGGCACCCTTGGCTCGTTACTTCGCTCGGTGCCGCTTCGGTCTTACGGCCCCCTAAGCCTAGGCTATCGTAATTACGGCGAGTCACACGCGGGTATATAAAGGCAGAAGTGGAGACAAAGTGACACTCTCGATCTCGCCTATAAATGGCATAAGGCTGATACGCGTTCCGCGTCCGTACGAGCAGGTTTGTCAATATGTGCGTGAACATGCCTGGCCTGCTCGTTTGTGTGTCGAAGGTCGAGCACACGCAAACGCTGTGCGCGTGCATCGTCCCACATGCTCCGGCGTAACGCACTGTTAACCGTGGCAACAACGATGCTCCCAGCAATGTTTACTGAAATACGGCAAACGCCATTCGACGGATTGCCTCGTCGTGCTCCGTAATCCGTGCAATTGAAATCCACGGAAATTGGCTATTTCGTTGTTTAATTAATTCCGTCGTCGTGTTTCGCCGCGTCTCCTTGCTTCCTCGAAAAAACTACGTTTCCGAATCTAGCGATATCGCGATCAAAGTGAAGATCACGTTTGTTACAAATACTTCTGATGGCGGCTGACTCGAGAATCGAGTTTCGTCCGAAATCGGCGAAATTTCTCGCGCCGCCACTTCTGTAAATTTCCGTCCGAACGCGAAACACGCGTCGCTCCGATTCGATTCGTCGTCCGGAGTTTTCTTTTTTTTTTTTTTTATCGGTTGTCCGCCCGATAAAACTGCTTGCCGGAACACGGTCGAACAAACGAGAAAAAGCGAGAGGACAAACCGGTAGGCGTCCCTAAACCGGGACTCTTCGGACCGTGATAATTGTCCTTTCGCTATTGCTACCTAGTTGCGCAATATTCCGCAAACCATAGAAACGAACCTAAACCACCATGGAAAATGTCGAGCCACGACAACGATTTTCCGGCGGAAATATCCGGCGCGAGTTGTACGCGAGTTCACCAACCACACGTGCTACGCGTAATCGCTCTCGCGCGAAGAGAGAGAGAGAGAGAGAGAGAGAGCACATTTTTCCTGCAGCCGATGACTTTTCGACGCGACTCAAGGAGAAACGCGGTTACCACGCTGAGGTTATTCAATTTTCCAAGCTCGCCTCGCCAGTTACGTAAACGTTCGACGAATGAAACGAACGCCGTGCACGAAAGCCAATGGTCGCGTCTCGAACGTCGCACGCAGTGTTCGCTTCGACGAAGTTGTAAGCCGACTCGAAACGCGCAGAGTGCACGGAAAAGGGAGATTTTCCAAAGAGGATCCGTTGCTAGGAAATTTGTCATGTGTGACTCGTCCTGAAGTACTTTGGCCAGGATCCAAAGTACAAGTCGGAAAGGATATATATATATACAGGGTGTCTCGTGTAAAGTTAATCACACAATTCTCTCTTAAG